CTCATCTTGGGAGTAAGGTTATATTTTTCGACGATTTTAGTTGCGATGGCTGACATGATTGAATGTTATAATATCTCGAATAGGCTATGAACAATTCTTTAGGTTATATACACTTTAGAAAATATTTTTTCAAATCGAAATTATTTATCCGGGTTTGTATATACAAAAAAATTGAATGGGTCGTGGTTAATGTAATTCTATTGAAAAATGGACATGGGCAAGGCACGAGATCGATCAAAAGTCTTGGAATCTATAGCTCTATGAAATAAGATAACCAAAAATATCAATGGGATCAAGGAGGATATAGCATTACTCAAAGAGATCGTGGAAAAAATGATCAATATATATCAGGTACATGGTTCACGTCAGCCAGAGGCTAGTTCACACCAATGCCTTGGATCTGATCTGTCAATTTAAAAATCTTTTTCCTCTCATATTCATGTTCGGTAAAAGAGAATATATACGATAAATTAAAAAGATAACCTATAATATCTGGCTTCGAGCAATTATTGTGAGAAGGCGGGAATATAACGAAAAAAAATTACTTCGCATGTACGTAGTGCATATAGCTTCGGGGGTAGGAGCCCGGGCAATATTATGATTTCCCGAAGGGAGTTATATAGTAACTATGCTACCATATTAGTTTTTAATATAATGCTCGCACAAGAGAAAGTATATGTTCTGGCCCTAAAACATTAGTCTTAATAAATGCATCATATAGAGCGTTTGGTTTATAGTTTGAGGTCAGTATGTCTGGATGATGGAGGAATTCCATAAGTACATTATTTCTCCATTCCTGCGTTTTGTTACTATTCCAGTCAATTTTTAATAACTGGTGTATAGCATAATCATTGCTTACTTCGACTAAAAGCTGTAATAAACTTACTTTTCTATTAATCAACATAAGTAAACTTTTTTCTGGATCGTGCGCGATTTTCTGAATTCGATTAGATATAAATGAAAGAAATTTTCCTAATGTTTGTTTATCGTGAATCAGAGGGATTAAAAGTCCTTCCTTTTTTCAATGCAAATAACCATCACGTATCAAGTTATTATATGCCGGCCCATCGATTGCAATCATACGATCCGTTTTTGGGTTATATATTTTTAGCATCCTCGGACGCCTAGCTAATTTGAATAGCTCACCCGAGGTTATTATTTCTTTATTGTATTCTGACTCCTGGGTATACATATTAAGTAGTAATAAGGATATGTTTCTACTAAAAATGTTTGAAATGTTCAATTACGATTTTCAGATGACATCAATAGCGTTGTTATATTTAAAACTATATATTGTACATTAAAAGTGAAAGACATTTATACTATCCTTATACAAAAATTGTTATGAATTGCGTAACTTGCCAACATATCAAGAGGGATGGATCGGTTTGTGAGAACGTCTGTACTTGTACTACGGGATGCGCTAAACACTGGAGTTTATATGAAAAAAATATGAAAAAAAAGTCCTGCAGAATATGTGGTAAACGTACATTATCTTACACAGGATATTGCGCAATTCACGCTAAGAGAGTTTATTTCAATAACTGGTACGAGAAACAGAGGCATATAGAGTAGGCTATCTGCAGTAATATTTTTATTGGAAATTTTTATATTAACTATTTTGTAGAGACAAAATGTCCTAGTCTCCACCCACAATCCACTCCTTAATGATCGAGCAATTTGCTATACATTCCATTTTCCTGGAGTATGTTAACCGTTTTTTTCCATTTCTCGTCAGTATCGAGCCACGATGAGGAAATTCCGTGTTCTTCATCATATCGACGAATTATTTCTTTTCCTATTAATCTATCACGTACTTCCATGAGCATATATTCTTTGGGGTCTTCATCACCTTCCTTCGCATAATCACACATCCTTGCATCAGTCTGCATCTTATCCTTAAATGCTATCGAATCGAGTTTATCTTTCTCAGTTATAATCATAAACTTCTCTGGATCCTCACCAAGTTCAATAGCTTTTTGACGGAGTCGAGCCTCTCGTTACTCCCTGGCTGGATATGTGGGAGACAACGTTTCCGCTTGAGTGATAGCTTCTTCATTTCTGGATTTTAGTTCGTCATTCGCAGGTAAGTTGGGAGATATCTCGGGCTTATCATTCATAGACCCAGCTTCATCACTCACTGATTCGATAATTTCGGAAGGTTCTGGTTTATCGTCTATTGGTTCTACGTCTATGATCTCGGGAGACAGAGATATATTGGTAGACTTGAATGGCGAAGCAACTGAATATTCCGGTTGATCTGTTATAGAATCGAAGAGATTTTGAGTCATGTTAGTAACGGATGGGGTGGGTAATGTATCCTTACCTTTTTCGATGTGATCGGTAGTTAATGCTTCTGCTGTATCTTTTTCTGGTTCGGGAGGTATAACAATTTCTGGGACATTGAATACAGGAATATCTGTGGACACATTAGTGAATGTCTCGGCTTGAGGTACGTCAGAAAACTCCTCGATATCACCTACCGATTCTCGTAATTTAGCTACGATTTTTGATCGATCAAGGATATAGACCCATTCTCTTTTTCCATTGATTCGTACCTGTTTCTTTTCGATTCCTATTGGTGAAAGAAAACCTTCAAATTTATTACTACTGATTCGATCCTCGCCATCATTTCCACACCAAGTAAGATAATCTTGATATAAATTCCTACTGATCAGTTTTTTGATTTGATTTTCAGACCATGATTGAATATACTGCATTATAAAGCGAGTAGGGTTTGGAAGCTGTTTCAATATTGTATCCGTTTTCATTTTAGTGATAGACATATCTTGTGGATCCCAATTTGAAAGATCAAGGCTAAGAAGATATGACATAACTACTCCTGGTGCATCAGGATGTTCTAGTATTTTTGCCAAACGTTTGAAATATGGTATATTTCCTCTACATTGTGCAGAAACATCAAAACAGACTACACGAGCATCACCTGCATCTATTTTAATTGGAGCATCCTGATTACTTGTGATCATATAACAGGAAAAGTCATTTAATCTTAAAGTTTCAAGGCCTTTACGCTCTATAGCCACTTTTCTTTCCGTTATGAGGGCTTTGAGGTAACTGTTAAACCTATGCTACTCACCACTGGACATACTAGTCTAATTTATAACAATAAGTTTTTTGGTCTGAATGGTGCTATTAAATTTTTCAAGAATTTTTCCTAGATCGGATGTTGCGAAATGAAGATGTGGACCTAGAACTTTATCACCAATAAAATCAGTAATAATATTTTTTCCGCACTGCTGTAAAGTGGATTTTAATACCAGAATTGAACGAGTTTTCTTTGTTGGTTTTTGTATTAAGAATGCCCACCAGTTCCAGATATAATTATTAAGTTCTTCATTTTCATCACAGATTACATACTTCACATGTCAAAGAATAGGTTTCATGATTTCAGGATTTATTTCTTTTGATGGTTTGGCTAGAAATCCTAAGAAAAGGTTAAAGAATTCAGTCTTTGGTGGAATAACATTTGGAGAGTATGGGAGAAAATCGATTTCATCATAAAGTATTAATTCTTTAGTAACTGCTTGATTTATTAATGATATCAACTTTACCGATTCTTCTCCGTGTTCGATTATACCAATCTCAAACTTAGCAAGATCCAACCTAGGTGCCATTTTAAAGTAGAGTCCATCTTCTGGATGTTTGAGCTTAAGTATCCATGTCTGTGAATCTTGCTGAACGCAGGCAATTGTTGCTTGAATTGCCTCATAAACTTCAACACGTGTATATTTTTTTCCTGAAGTACACATACGAAGCAAGTTTCCCCATACAAAATAATCATTTGGATCTGAAATTCTGGACCGGTCTAATTTCTCTGGAATTGGAAGGTCGTTTTCCCGATCCATGACTGATTCTTCAATGAGAAGCTTTAAAGAAGGCTTTTTTGATCCGGTCTCCCTATCCTGATTTGCATGATGACAATAGAAACTATATGATTTTTTATTTCGGTTAACATATGCATTTTCACTATCGTGATCTCGTTTACATAATGGACAGTGTGATGAGGCTATGCGTTTGAGTGGGAATGTATCAGGAAATTTATCTGTTGGATATAATAATTCATATCCTTCGATATTGGCCTCTTTGAGTAGTGATTCCAGCAATTCGAGTTCGACATCGGTAATATCGGTGGCTTTATTATAGGAGTTATATATTCTGGTTGACGCCGGCTCTGGAACAGTTAAAAGAGGGCTATCTATAACTGGTGCATCGTCGTTAGGTGGGCGAAGCATAAAGTCAAAAATTGTGCCATCTTCGGGTATAACGGCTCTCTTTGGGCGAACATGTTTATAAGTTTTTTCATCAGTTTTCTCACATTTTATTTCGACCACCTTTGGGGTTCCAAGCATTCGCAAGGAGAATGCACTTTTATTTGCAATTTTATCGACAATACCCTCAGCTTGTAAACTTACTGGGAGCTTCTTACTGACGAGATCAACAAAAAAAGTAACTTTGGCAATATTTTTGAGTCGTAGACCAAATGTTGATATATGATATGACACTTTTTTCTGGTCGCTACTACTGCCAACAGTTAAGGTTTTAATATCCCAGTCTTTATAAATCTCAATACAAGTACCTCTAAAAGCTCCAATTAGGGCATAATAAACTTGTTTACGTGTGAGTTTTGGTTTGATATTATTTAACGTTTCTTGGGGCAAATCAAAATCAATAAAGGGGCGAAGTGGATAATTGCCTTCTATCCATTCATGCAGCGAATGTCCTTGCTGGTCGCTAAGTATAGTTTCTATCCCATCTTCTGAATCTGTACCAAAGAATTGTCTTGGTTCTATGCTATCATCGCGAATTTTGTATAAATATTCGGCTACACTATTGGCGTTGGCACCCTGGTGGTAGGTACCCCCGCTCTCTCCATTCTCGGGCTCATATTCTTTAGCGTTTTCTGGGCTTTCTGGTGTGTAAGTCTCTTCACATTGCTCCAATTTTTCGGGAATGTGGGTCTCGGTCGGCATATCGGATGATACAGAACACTGAATTTCGGGTTCTTCAATATAGGCGGACACAGTGGGTATATCGTGTTCACTTTGGGTACTCATGTTGTTTCTGGAAGTATATTATTCGGAATTAAAAAGTTCAAAATGAAAATTAATTCTAAAGAATATTGGTCGGTACATATTATATACTCTATCTCGATAGACATCAAAAAGAATGGCATTTTATCGTTGTCCCTATATCCTTAGAACCGGAGAAGTCTGTAATCGGGAGTGTTATCATCCCAAGGGGTGCAAAGTTCATCGGGATTCACCTGTTCGTTATCCTTGCAAAGAATATGGTTGTGTTAAATTTACCTTTTCTGATTATAGTTATTGTGATCCTCACGCGCAAAAATATCGTAGAAAAGAGTATAAGCATCAAAAAAAGCTGGAGAAGATGGCACAAAATGGGGTTATAAAAAATGCATAGTAATGGCTCTTATAAGTTGTCACTCGTTCGTTTCAAGTAAAAAAAAATCGATAGAAAGGTAGGTTCTTGAGAGTTTGGGTCTGAAAAAAACTGTTCTCGATAGCTGTCACAAGTTGTCACGAGTTCGTCTCAAGTAAAAAAATCGATAGAAAGGTGGGTTCTTGAGAGTTTGGGTCTGAAAAAAACCGTTCTCGATAACTGTCACAGCTGTCACAAGTTTCTTAGGTTAATTTGTCGAGTCCACCTTTTTATTTTTTTTTTTCTATATATCTACAACATATCGAAGGTAGGTATCAGGTATATATCATAGTATATATTGAGGTAGGTATATGCGCATATAACAAAAGTAGGTATCGGGCATATAACATAGGTAAGTATCGAGTATATATAATATAGGTTGGTGTCAACTATATATCAAAGGTATACTATAGGATGAGTTTTATTTTTTCCTTTAGAATTCTACCATTTTACTTAAGTAACTAGTGACAGATATAAAGAAGTAATCAAGAAGGAAATGAAAAGGTTTGAAACTCTTAAACAAGTGTCACAGGTTCTGTTACAGGTACTCGCAAACAACTAGTGATAACTTGAGTCAACTTGTAACAAAAAATTTGATACATTTGGTATAGCATTACTCGGGCCCTTTAGGGGTGTCTCTTCGAGACATAGCAATTACATGACAAATGTTTTCAGATATATGCCAGAGTAGGTATCCATTATTTTCTCATAATTCTTTTTCGTGCATTTGATCGAAGTTTATTATAGTATTCTCTAGTATGTAAAGGGTAACGACCAAAAATTGACCTGGTAGGTTTATCACAGTCAGAGCATGGTACTATTCTTTTAGCTTTTCAATGATTACATTTCTCAGGCTCTGTATAGGTATTTTCACAAATTTCACCGGGATCGTGACCAAATAGACAAGTACATTCACGCGACATTTTTTATTATATAAAAATATAATCTTTAGATGATAAAAATGTAACTAAGACGTAACTAGGATACAATTTGATAGCATGACCTGATAGCATTTTCGCGATATACTTGACAACATGTATCTGATAATATTATTTTTTCTATTAAGTATTCTATGCGGTATACAAAATGACATCAGTACAAGAGCACAATATCAAGTCGGATCAAGCTATTAATAAAATTATAGCACAAGAGATTGAAAAAGCAATCAATACTTATATAGAAAAGTTTAACCAAGAATTGGATTCTGAGCTTGAAAATGCGTTTAAAGATATAATAACATTCGTAAAGTTGCTATCAAGAATCCTGATACTACCAATGATGTGTAAATCATATCATATACTATTACTTATTTTGTCTCCTCTGATCTCATCGTCACTCGAATGACGACGGTGACCAACTTTTGTCGTCAGACCACACGCGAATTGCCAACCCGATATATGTTAGTTCGAGTGTGGCCTAAAAAGCAAAATGCACATGTGGCTAACTTTTGTCATCAGACCACATATCTGATGGGAAATAACCTACAGCTGACTCTCTCCCAGCATAACCTACCTCGGGAAGCTCCTTACATTCGAAATCAAATATAACCACCATATACTATACAATTTTTAATA